CACACACACACATTAGGCTCTGGAGCCTCACAGCTTGGGTCTGCATCTCCAGGCTATTACTGATCAGCTTCTGGCCTTGGGACCAAGTATTTAATTTCTTTAAGACTCCGGTTTCTCATCTATAAATTGAAGAAAATATTAGTGCCTGCCTCATAGAATTGACTTGAGGATAAATAAATTGGAGGTCAAAAACACTAGTGTGCTTAAGTTACTCAGTAAACATTCACTGTATTTTTTTCTGCTCGAGGAACGCTAAGTGAAAATGCAGTGCCTCTGGCAGTTTTGCGCATCTCACCGGCCGTCACCGGTCGTGGCTGGGCTGCAGCCCTCTCAACAGCTCTGCTGCTCCCGCTTGGGCGTTTCTGAGAAGGCAAAGAGGCTATGTCTCCCTTGTGCTCAGTCTCGAGACTGAGTATTTATCACACCGTGCGTTTGGCATGGAAGGCTGCACTGGGTCTCTTCTGCTGGAGACTGCCGCTGCCCCCGGCATGGAGGGTTATTCTGTAGTGGACTGGGGTGGGGACGGTGCCTTTCTCCCATTTTTTTTTTTTAAATTCTCCTTGATTAGAAATTCTTTCAAAGAAGGAGTAACTTGCACTCCAGCATCTTTCAGGTTTTACTCATAACTTTCTTCCCCGGAGGGTTGGAATGACAGAAACCAGACTGGTTTTATCAGCCGAGGCTTCGGGTCTGACGCCGTCTTTTCCTAGAAAAAAATTATCTTCCAAGAGGTTCCACAGTTTCTCTGGCAATAAACTTTAGCAGTCATGTCTCTAGTCTATAAGATTTCCCCAAGCTTGTTCGAATCTCATTTGTGGGACCCCTGTTAATGCTTATTTAATCTGAAATGGCAGAATCTGAGTGACATTAAAGACGATGTTAACTTATTTAAGAGGAGGGAGTAAGGCACAATGTATGTGACAAGCCATCACCTGAGTCATAGTTAAAACTTTTCCCCGGCATTAAAACCTGCCAGCCAGGAAAGCTATGAGACTTAAATTTTTGATCTTAACAGCCAAATCTTATATCTGTCTCAAAATGGCTAATCTAAAAATCTGGTCTGCCTAAGGCCTGTCAGTCTTTAAATGACTGGTTTTGGTTCTCGTTTTTTGGCTTCAGCCTTCAGCATCTCTTGGAACTGCCACTTGCTAATGGGCTGGGTGTGGCAGGTGCCAGGGATAACAAGGAGGTGATTTGAAGCTTAAGGGTTGTCACTGGTCATCAGAGAACCTTGCTTCTTTGGTATGAGCTGTGAAATCTGAGTCATGAAGTCATACGGGTGACCCTTGGTACATTTACAGAAACTGAATGTTTATGCCGATTACAGACTCTGTACATGTGGGAGAACAGAACTGACTTAGCCACTAGACAGGTAACTCACCTAGGACTCTGGAAAAAAAAAAAAAGAGCTTAATGTCAAGTAACAACCAAAATAGAAGCTAAACTTGAGCTGACTAGTTCCAGTCTGGTGTTATCAGTCTGTTTTATTTCTTTTAGTGTTATGAGATGAACCCTCACAGAGTGGGTTCCTCAAAATAACTTAGAATTTTGTAAGGCTGAAATATGAATCCTTATATATAAGGTATATAATATTATGAGTATAAAAATATATATAACAAGAATTGCCACAAGATTAATAATACATATGATGTTAGTTCCTACGTGCAACTTTTTAACTCTTGTTTGAATAAAGATATACACAGGAGAATGGAACTGGAAATTCCATGAAATAACTCATGGCAGATAAGTGGATGGCAGATAGCCCATCCTTAACAATTAGGATGAACTATTCCTTTTATTTGGGATAACCAGGAGGGTTTCTTACAGGAAATGAAATCTACACTGGTGTTTGAAAGATGGGAAAAATGTGTAGGTTGATAGTAAGAGGAAAGGAGCTCTTTTGTTAGAGATATGAAGTACAAAAAAAAAAAAAGACTTAGGAAAATACCAGGTGTTTTGGGCGGTGGAGGGGAGGGACTGCAAGTAGAGAGTTTATGCTGGAGCAGAGCAAAGAGCAGGACATGCCTGAAGCGACTTAGTGCACAGCACGAAGGGATGAATTGGGAGCAGAGCCGCGGGAGGAACGCGGGAATGCAGATGGACGCTGTGTTCTGAGTGCCAGGCTAAGGATTTCATATGTTCTCAAACAGTTGAAAAGAACACTGTCAAAGCTGGATTATTCCATATTGGAGTTCTTTTTAGAACAATGGGTTTATGATGGCTTTGAAATGTATTTTCTTGGGTAATCAGTCTTGAAATCATGAAGGATGGATCAGGGAGGTGAGACTAAAATTAGGCAGGCCAGTTAAGAGAATTGGAATGTTGTGTGAGGTGATCTTCGTTAGGATTTATAATGGCTACTGGTTGATTTAGGAAGAAAAACCTTTTCAATAATATGGGAATAAATAATTAAATGAGTAAACATGTATGTAAAGGGTCATAGGTCTTGGTAACTAGGTATTGACTCCAAAGATAAAGGAAGAGGGAGAAATAGAGGTGACCTCTGGGTTTTTAAGTTTGGATGATGGTGGGACCAACAATAGAGGTGGGAAAGCAAGAAAAGAAAGGAATTTTTGCTTGGGTTATTGCTAAGTCTTCCTAAATGTCTTTTTTTTTTTTTTTTTTGAGAAATAACTTGCAACTTGCAAAACTTTAATTTCTGCTCACATTTCAAGTCTTGTCAAGGCCATCTGTTGAGAACAATTAAGATTAGGTATATGAGGTGAGAGTGGGTTGTACAGTGTAAAACACTCAGGTAAAGTATTAAGTACGTTGACATCACTGACTACCCGCAGAATTAGAAATTTTTCTCTGAAAATGTCACCTTTATGTAGAGTTGCATTCATTTTTCTCTAAGAGAATCAGTTCTGTCTTAGGGGGTTTGTTTTAAAAGATTAAGTAGCTAATTCCTTAATGAGCAGGGCTTCAGCTAATTATTATTTTCTTTACTAAGAGATTTTCATAATAGCATTTGAAATCTGAGATTGGTAATGCTAACTGAATACTATATTGCTAAACTATTGTTGAGCCAAATGGGACTGAGTTTGAATGCTTGCTCTCCTCTTAATAACCTTATGACTTTTTGTCAAAGCAGGTCCCCTTGTAGAATCGGACATGATGAAGATTAAGGGAATTAATATGTGTGAAGGTCTTGTTGCAATGCTTGGCATAAGCTGGTAAGCTTTGAATAAGCGCTGTGATGGATTTTTATACAGATTCACCGGCAGTTATGAACCCGAGAACAAAATGAAGTCATATTTCTTTAAGTGTCCTGCTCAGAATGACCTGGAGAAGTCATCTTGGCATTGGAAGGCAGGGCCCAGGAACCCAGAGGCTATCTTAGATGCTGTGCTTAATTGGGATTATAATCAAATATTATCAAGAGGAAATCAGTTGGCTGGTTGTCTGCATCCCTTGGCCTCACTGAATAGGTGTTCACTGTTGTACAGTAGTCCGCCCTTATTTGTAGGGGCTACATTACAAGACCCCAGTGGATGCCCAAACCCTTGAATAGTACCAAACCCTATATTATAGTATGCTTGTTCCCATGCATACATGCCTATGATAAAGTTTAACTTATAAATTAGGCACAGTAAAAGCATAACAAGAGCAAACAATAGTAAAATAGAAAAACTCTAACAACATAGTGTAATAACAGTTACATGAACATTCTCTCAAAACACCAGCGTACAAATCTGATGCTTTTCCATCTTGACTAAGCACTTATCACGACTGTGGCCACAACTTTTGTGACTGGAGGGTGCAGCGGCAAAACTAGCGCACAGTTCTTTTTCCCACTTCAACATTTCATGGAAGGAAGATGCATTCTTGCTGTAGGTCTTAGCAACCTCAGCATGCAAGTTTTTTTCTGGCAAGTCTAGAACTTTCACTCTTTCGTTTAAAGTGGTCGCTTTATGGCTTTTCTTTGGCACAGCAGGATCACCAGCGTCACTGCTCTTGGGTGTGGGGCCATTATGAGGTGAAGTAAGGGTAATTTGGGCATAAGCTCTGCCGCATAGTGACGGTCAGTGTGATAATCAAGACCATGTGTGGGATGTGCCAGGCAAAAGGGTGATGATTTAAGATTTCATCGTGCTACTCAGAATGGCCCACAATTTTTAAACTTATGAATTGTTTATTTCTGGAATTTTCCATTTAATATTTTTGGACTGTGGTTGACTGTGGGTAACTGAAACTGCCAAAAGCAAAACCACAGGTAGGAGGGGACTGCTGTGTCACCTTTCCGCGGGGCCCTGCTGAGGTGCTCAAGGGGCAGGTCTGCAGAGGGAGAGGAGAGGACGCCTGCCAGCCAGGGGCATCCCAGTCGTGATGGCCACGCAGTGCCGTTAGACACCGGGCCGCCAACATCAGGCAGCTGCAGGTTTGTGTGCACACACACTCAAACTTGCTCACACAGCTTCCCCTCCACCCGCTCCTTCTATGGCAAACCCGCTGTGTCTGGGTGGCCAGTTCAGACGAGTTTTCCTCAGAAGCAATCCATATCTGAGACAGCCCAGGCCAAGCCTGGCTCTGTAGATCAGAATCTGCAGCAAGTTTTCTCTGAGCAACTAAACCACCAGCTAACCTCAGCTATGTCAGCCTTAGTCAGCTAGAGGTGTTTGAATAACTTGCAACCTCAAGGGAACAAAGATAAAGTTTTTCTCAGCAATCACCTTAGACATTTGCGCATTTCTATCCCAGCATTCTTAGAGCTGTTTATTCCAAGGGATTTATGGTGGAGCAGCTTCAGTCATGGGGGAAAAAGCAAAAGGAAGCCTGTTGTACTTTTACCCCATAACGATGGATGCCTATTTACTTTACGCCACTTAATGAAAAACTGTTCTTCCCAGAGCTAATTGATGTCTTCCCTTGTAGAAGCTGAAGGGATTGGCAGTTTACAAAATGAATATTCTCTCATTAGAAAATTTAAAGTTCTGCCCCCACCAAGCATCCCTCTGCACTATTATTAGGTCAGTGTGATAATCAAGACCATGTGTGGGATGTGCCAGGCAAAAGGGTGATGATTTAAGATTTCATCGTGCTACTCAGAATGGCCCACAATTTTTAAACTTATGAATTGTTTATTTCTGGAATTTTCCATTTAATATTTTTGGACTGTGGTTGACTGTGGGTAACTGAAACTGCCAAAAGCAAAACCACAGGTAGGAGGGGACTGCTGTGTCACCTTTCCGCGGGGCCCTGCTGAGGTGATCAAGGGGCAGGTCTGCAGAGGGAGAGGAGAGGACGCCTGCCAGCCAGGGGCATCCCAGTCGTGATGGCCACGCAGTGCCGTTAGACACCGGGCCGCCAACATCAGGCAGCTGCAGGTTTGTGTGCACACACACTCAAACTTGCTCACACAGCTTCCCCTCCACCCGCTCCTTCTATGGCAAACCCGCTGTGTCTGGGTGGCCAGTTCAGACGAGTTTTCCGCAGAAGCAATCCATATCTGAGACAGCCCAGGCCAAGCCTGGCTCTGTAGATCAGAATCTGCAGCAAGTTTTCTCTGAGCAACTAAACCACCAGCTAACCTCAGCTATGTCAGCCTTAGTCAGCTAGAGGTGTTTGAATAACTTGCAACCTCAAGGGAACAAAGATAAAGTTTTTCTCAGCAATCACCTTAGACATTTGCGCATTTCTATCCCAGCATTCTTAGAGCTGTTTATTCCAAGGGATTTATGGTGGAGCAGCTTCAGTCATGGGGGAAAAAGAAAAAGGAAGCCTGTTGTACTTTTACCCCATAACGATGGATGCCTATTTACTTTACGCCACTTAATGAAAAACTGTTCTTCCCAGAGCTAATTGATGTCTTCCCTTGTAGAAGCTGAAGGGATTGGCAGTTTACAAAATGAATATTCTCTCATTAGAAAATTTAAAGTTCTGCCCCCACCAAGCATCCCTCTGCACTATTATTTTTATTCTTATTATCATTATTTCTGAATTGAGGAGCTAAAAATCCCCTTGAGAAGGCAACCTGAGAGAAAGGCAAATTTGAGTTTTTAAAAATCCTGTACTCAAGTCAATGACCATTCTAGCTTTGATCTGTCATATACAAGAATATATCCTAGCCTTGTAATGAGGTTTTCTTGTATTAAAAATTGAATTTTTAGATCCCAATCAGATGAGCACAATTACAATATTTATAATTAAAAATTTCTCAGTAGTTTGTCCCTTTAAAAAATTCTTAGGAAATTCTTTTTTGTCATAGTTCACATGAAAACCTGATAACCGCCTTCTACCTGTGGCTCTAATAAAGGGAGAAAAAGCCTCATTGTTACAGTATTATGTGTTAGTTTGACATTCTCATCAAAGAAAACAGCTCTCCAAGCAAGGCTGTCCTTAAAGCCAGAGACAGATTTGTCAGTAATTCAGAGCCAGAAAGACTTGATTTTCAGAATGGTGATCAAACTGTCAGGGCAATGCTGCTTCCATGGGAATCAGGACTAGCCCACCTGTCTGATCTTTTTTTCCCAGACATAGCTAAGAGCTCCAAAGATAAACCAGCTAGCTGAGGGAAAGACATCAAACAATTGCATCACTATTTCCCTTAAGGGATTTAGTCCTGAAGACTAAGAAAACTATCTTAAATTAGCTCTAATTAAATGCCGTGAATCTACTGTTCCATCACTCAGAGAATGGAATGGATTGCCTCATTGTGTGTGTGTGTGTGTGATTTCATGTTACTAGTGGTGTAGAAGAATGGAGATTCTTTAAAGGAGGATTAAAAATATGGAAGGGACAAAAGGAAGCAGGGTGAGAAGAAAAAAGAAAGTAAGGACAAGGTTATTCTGGGTCCCCTGTGGACAAGTTGATGGTGGCCCTAGGTCACAAATCATTGTGTGTTGACAGAATTGGTTTACATGATCACTCAAGTGGTACACAACCCATATTGATTATGGAGTGATATGTATAGATTATTAAGATGACTAATAGTGCCTTTCTCACTGGCTGACTGCATGTACAGACAAGATCAAGTTATTTTGTAGAGACTATTTCTTAGGGTGTGTGGTGGGGGAGATGGCAATAGGAGGATTCATCAGACACTGCTTTAAGTTATACTGACAAGAGAGGGTTATTTTCAGATTTACCATAAAGTGTTTCTGCACAAAGGAAATGTTTTGTGGAAAGAATTCATGACACCATGCAAGCATGTTTCTTTAATTGGAAACTGGATACACTCTACTAAACATTTTATTGGAATATTTATTTCACACTTTAGGAATGATCCTGAGAGAAATGCTTTGTGATTAACTGTGATTGCCCACATATGAAAAATGAGTAAAGGGACAAGAATGAATATGCAATTCGTAGGGCAAGCTTCCAATTTTTTATTCATTTTCTAACATTTCTACCAATACCACTTCTCCCAAAGATAATAATATTAAGCACCCAAGCTATAGTCAGTTTGGCATCCTGAGCAAACTTATCTTTTATTGTTACTTCAATCTTGAAAACAGCTTAGCTATAAGCAGGAAGCTAGAGATACCATTATAATCCTCAAAACAGTTTTATTTGAACAGTAAGAAAAATGAGACCTAAGACCTGCTCTGTTTTCATGTTCTTAGATAATATTTGTGACTTGCAGACTAGTGGCTTTTCCCCTTTCTTATAGTTTTAGATTTTTGAATGAATAAATCCTATACACTATTCAAGTGCAGTCCCTAGATGAACAGCATCACCTGGAAACTCATAAGAAATCCAGATTTTCAGGTCAGTCTTAGACCTACTGAGTCAGAAGCTCTGTGGGCAGAGGTTCAGCCGTCTCTGTTCAACAAGCCCTCCAAGGTGCTTGCTGCTGCTGTGCCAAGTCGCTTCAGTCGTGTCTGACTCTGTGCGGCCCCAGAGACGGCAGCCCACCAGGCTCCCCCGTCCCTGGGATTCTCTAGGCAAGAACACTGGAGTGGGGTGGGATTTCCTTCTCCAGTGCATGAAAGTGAAAAGTGAAAGGGAAGTCGCTCAGTCGTGTCTGACTCCTAGCGACCCCATGGACTGCAGCCCACCAGGCTCCTCCGTCCATGGGATTTTCCAGGCGAGAGTCCTCGAGTGGGGTGCCATCGCCTTCTCTGCCAAAGTGCTTTTGAAGCCCACCATACTTTGGGAACCACTGAATTACGCTGTCCAACCCCTTCCTCTCCTCGCTTTGCATTCTGAGTATAGTGTGCAGCCGTGACTTAGAGCAAAGTGTAGCTCGCTGCCTTTCACTAGACCTGCTGGCTTTGTAGTTTCATAAGGACCATGCTCCAAATGATTGAGCTAAGCAGATGCTGATGAGGGAAATGTGTGAGCTTCAGCCCACTTTTCCTTTTTTGGAAGGAAGATGGTATTTAAGGGCTTCTTAGGTGGCTCAGATGGTGAAGAATCTGCCTGCAATACAGGATACCTGGGGTCAATCACTGGGTTTGAAAGATACTCTGGAGAAAGGAATGGCTACCCTTTCCCGTATTCTTGCTGGAGAATTCCATCGACAGAGGGGCCTGGTGGGCTCCAGCCCGTGCGTCTGCTCAGGCACCACTGACGGCTAAGCACAAGAACGTGGTATTTAAAGGCGGGTATGTAAACGCCTCATCTCAAGCTCCGATGTGTCTTAGAAGTTGTGGGGCTTGAAGCTAGTTGCTCAAGCCCTCTAACTCTTGTGTTCTTCCGTTACAAGCACATTTTTCATGGAGCTGTTTTGAGTATGAAATGAGGTCTGGCAGACCCTAGCACCTACAGTGACTTCAGGTGAATTAGAAAAAGGGTGGTAACATTGTCCGTGTGTCACCCTGACTTCGGCGTGGAGAACCTGGGCTGCAGTTCAGCCCTGACTTCTGTCCTCTCATCTGGGCTGAGCTGTCCGCGGCACTTGTGTACGCGGAGCTCTTGAAGGAGATGATGCATGTAAAGCAACTGGCCTGTAAGGGTTGGTTTTTATACAGTATATTACATATATAACATATGACACAGAAACATAATTTTCTTATTTGTGTCTGTTATGGTTCACGGAGAGGACAGTACTTGGTAGTCACTGGGTTGCCAGTGAAGATGCTTAAAGTGACTAATAAAAATAAGAAAAATCATCGCATTTCCCAATCAAATTAACAGGTTTGTGGAAAGCATTTAGTTTTACCTTTCATGTGGTGTAGACTTAGCCTCTCTGGACCATTTACAAATGAGATCTGGAAGGAAAACTGGTTTCACATTTGCTGTTCATATACCACCCTGACTTATTTATGGCCTGATGGAATAATATAAAAAGGGGACTGACAAAGCAAAATAATAAATATTACTTAGATACACATGTAATGTGGACAGGATATTCCCTCACATGGTATCATCTAGGTGCTGAAGACTGGTTTCAAATCCTTTTTTTTTTAAGGGCAAAGGTCAAGAGGGAGAAAAGCCCATGCTTCTGCGGAATAAAGGATGAAGAGGCAGATACAAGGACAAGAGTGAGGTTTGTGGCTTCTTCGCAAGATCACCCAGGGCTGACCCTTCCTGGAGCTCTGTGTTTCAGAACTTGAGTGTTCTCACCCTCGGAAACGTACACAACCTCCTGTCATGTTTGGCTGTCTGAGACTTTGGTGATCCCTATTACTGTTACTCGTTATTACCCTTTTATTCCCTCGTTATTACTCATTATCAATTCCTTGGTGGAAGGTGCTGGGATCCTGCCTAACACTCAGCATTACCTCTTAAATTAGCACAATGAAAATGATGAAACAAAGGACTGACTTTAAAAGCAACGGATTCTTTAAAGGCCACACTAAAATCCTTGTCTATACATTACTCGTTTACAGTACTGATACCAAAATTACATGCTATATAAGAAAATGTAACAAGATGTTATGACGCCAAAGTAAGATGCTAACCTAAATAGCATTGTTAAAATGTAACATAGGAAGTAAAATTGGAAATCACTATTAGAACACTGCTCATGTTACAAGATGTCAGAATCATGCATAATGCAAAAGTGAAGCTGCTTACAGAGCCTTTACAGAAGAGAATTTAAACTTGCTTCTATGGACATGAGGAGCTGCGCTTTGAAGCATGGTCTCTGATGAGATTCTGCCTGGTGCTAACGATGTTCCCAGGGAGTGTTCTCTTTCCATCTGATGCATATTTATTTATAGGGTGCCCGAAAGAAGAAATGTTCGTACAGAACGGCAGATTGCACCTCCACCATATTTTTCATTAATCATCCTTTCTTTGGCATTTTCACCATTGCTTTACTATTGATCTGTTTTTTGAACCCTCTTTGTGAATAAATCCCAATCACAAAATTACACATTGATCAATGTCAGCAAACACATTCCTGCAAACACAACCTTTAACTCCTTTTCTCCCCGAATCCTCATTCCATTTCATCTCCTGGGCAAAGGACGGAAAAAACAGATGATCCCTGCATTACTCTCTGAAGATCAACAAACCCAGACTTTGCTAGGCTTACGAGGCTGAACATAAAGCCCATCTCAAAGAGAATACTTTCCCCTGTTGCTCAGATTCAAGTCAAAAGTCTTTCATATGGAGTCTAACATTTCCCTCTACTCTATGTTAAAGACTATAGATCACATATTGCTTTCTGTTGCCACGTACAGAGAAATCACCATCTCTGAATACATGTACGCAATACAAATGTTTATCCACATACTAACCTCTCTAATTTGGACATAATTAGAGAAAGGGCTATTTAATTAGTGAAAAGTCTTAAATTATAGATGGCTGATTACTTCTGAGTACATAAAGTAATGGCAGGAAATGACTAACAAAGTGATGCCAAGTACCAGACCTGCCAGACCTGTTTTAATGAATAGCTAAAGACCACTGAAATTAGCACATTAATTGTATGCATGTAAATTGCTTCTGCTAAGTGCATTAAAATGTTGTTTTCTTTGTAATCATGTTGAAATTATTTATTTGGTTTGAACACCCTTTGCACAATTATTCATGAAAGACAAAATGTGAATTTCAACATAATGCCTGCCTAAATTGGAATACTACCAATTATATGCCTCCACGTTTTACCGTTCACGCAAAGGACTTGTGACTTCAGTTCAGTTCAGTTCAGTTGCTCAGTTGTGTCCGACTCTTTGCGACCCCATGAACCCTACCACACCAGGCCTCCCTGTCCATCACCAACTCCTGGAGTTTACTCAAACTCATGTCCATCGAGTCAGTGATGACATCTAACCATCTCATCCTCTGTCGTCCCCTTCTCCTCCTGCCCTCAATCTTTCCCAGCATCAGGGTCTTTTCAAATGAGTCAGCTCTTGCCATCAGGTGGCCAAAGTACTGGAGTTTCAGCTTCAGCATCAGTCCTTCCAATGAACATTTAGGTTTGATTTCCTTTAGGATGGACTGGTTGGATCTCCTTGCAGTCCAAGGGACTCTCAAGAGTCTTCTCCAATACCACAGTTCAAAAGCATCAATTCTTTGGCACTCAGCTTTCTTTATAGTCCAACTCTCACATCCATACATAACCACTGGAAGAACCATAGCCTTGACTAGATGGACCTTTGTTGGCAAAGTAATGTCTCTGCTTTTTAATATGCTGTCTAGGTTGGTCATAACTTTCCTTCCAAGGAGGAAATGTCTTTTAATTTCATGGCTGCAATCACCATCCACAGTGATTTTGGAGCCCAGAAAAATAAAGTCAGCCACTGTTTCCACTGTTTCCCCATCTATTTGCCATGAAGTGATGGGACCAGATGCCATGATCTTAGTTTTCTGAATGTTGAGCTTTAAGCCAAATTTTTCACTCTCCTCTTTCACTTTCATCAAGAGGCTCTTTATCCAAAAAGATATTTTTTTAATCAAAAAATCCAAAATGTGCATAATGAGACTCCCTTCAAAGTACCCATTTCCTTGCTTCCTGTCTTTATTTCAGACTCTCATGGAGGGTAAGAATGGGCTCAGGGCCAGGTGGAACCCCCCAAGTGCATATCCTGAGTACTCTACCACTTCAGAGCTATGAAACTTGGGTGCATTGTTAAGTAACTCTGAACCTTAGTTTCTCTTATGCCCTCTAGGATTGGGCAGATAATTAAATGGATAAAATAATACTTTGAAAGTGTTTCTCAAACTTCCATGATGATAAAAAGCACCTGGGGGCACTTGTAAAACCAAAAGTTTCCCAGGCTCATCCTCTGAGGCCTCTGCACCTACTGATTCAGCGGGGGCCACCAGTCACTCCAGAAGATTCTTATCATCTGGGAAACACCGTTTGGAGATACCTGGCTCATAGAAGCTGCTGCTCTGTCATACTCTGTGCAATATATGTCGTATTGGTGAGCCAGGAAAAACAGAAAAAAACAGGCTGAAGATAGAGAAGCAAGAAAGCTGTCACAGCGCGTCTGGCAACTTTTCCTTCAGTGCCGTCAGCAAACCGGTTCTCAACTTACAGGGAGGACAGTTTTCTCCACCGTTGAACAGTTCCATTGGTTCAAAAATTGGATCTCTTACTGTGTTGGAATCTGTTTCTTTTGAAGTTCTGTCTGTTGTTCTTGCCTGCTATTTGGAGCAACATAGAATAAGCCTACTTACTCAACCATTTGGCTGACTTTTTAAACATGAAAAGAGTTCTCTTATCTTCTTGATCATCTCTTTCTAAGCTGAATATACCAAGTTCCGTCATCCATTATGGGTCATAGAACATGGCTTCTACAGTTCTCACAATCTTAGTCACCCTCTTCTGCATCCAACCTGAGACTACCGATTTTCTTCTTAAAATGTGTTTTGTGACAGAACTGGATAGAATGCTATGTTTCTGAGTAAGACAGAGTATAAACAAACCATATTTCTATTAAAAAATGCCCTTATCTGAAAAGAATGATGCACTTAAAAGTTTCAAATGCCAGTTCACCAATTCGTTGACTTTTTACATGACCTTATATGAGTCATTTAGCGTATCCAGATGCTGGAAGACTGATCTCTGAAACTGGGATAGCAATCTTCCTCTGTCTACCCACTCACCTCCTAGGGCTGTTTAGAGGATAAAGTATAAAAGAAAGAATTTGAATGATTATGTGCCACTTTTATGACCAAATCAACATAGCTATGTAGCTGTGTTAATAGTAATTTAAATGTTAAGATATATTTTAAAATTAAAAAAAGAGATTAAATGGTTGCTCACCTGAAAACTTCATCTGAAAGTTATTAGGTTTTAAAAGTCTTTTTCTCTTGCTTTTATGGAAAAACATATCACATATCAGCTCATATCAATTTCATGTCAATTTAATACAAATCCCTGACTTTTTTTTTTTAACATAGTGTTTTGCCAAGTCAGGTTACCTTGAATTTGCAAAATAGAATTCTGAATTTTACTCTAAAAAACAACTTTCATGCTTCTAAAATGAGGGTCAATAGCCAGGAGACTGGACAACTACCAAATCTTAAAGGCTTACCGGTTAGGTCTGAAGAGAACTGGGCACCACCCCTGCGTCTCCTGAGTTTATTGGGATTCTTTTCAGGAGGAAAGTGCAGCTGCGGTTGTGTCTTATTCCTCAGTTCATTCCAGAGATTTGTTATCAATGCTCTCCTCTTCTTCTTTTTCTGTTGATGTGATCGTAAGGTCAAGTTTAGAGTAAAAGAGAAGCAGGCCTCTCTCGAAAACGATTGGGACTTAGATTCATGGGAGAAATAGCCTCGTTATAAACATAAAGATTAGCCTTGCTGATGTTTTCAACTAATATTTAATTACATAAGGACATGTTTCTTTTGTCTGAGTGAGAGTAAAGAGAAAAATAAAGAACACCAGAGGGAAATAAACCAAAATATAAAAGTAATTAGTTCTAGTCAATGAGATTACAGGTGTTTTCTTCTTTGTTATACTTCCTTGTATTTTCTAAATTTTCTACTGCATGCATGTATTACTTTTATAATCAGAAACCTGTTAGCAGGAAAGTGAAAGAAAGCAATGTTCTTTAATTTTGCTGCTAGGTGAAAAGTTGATGTTTGTGTTAGAAACAAAATTTTATGAAATCCTTTTTTTCTTAGTGCCAACTCCAGAAGGTGGGGAAAGGACCTTCTTTTATTCTTCTTTCCGTTTGGTTTCATCTGACATGTAGGAGCCTCTTTCAGTGACAGAGTTCAATGAGGGGAAGGCACCTGGGGCGACAATCAACGGCGATCGCATTAGCCGTGACGAAGTCTTTAGAAACGCTTCGCTCGGCCATCAGACAGACGGCAACAGGTGTAAATCCTTTTATTTTTTAAAAGTAATTTTCAAGCAGACTTCCTTCACATTGAGGTACACATTGATTATTATTTTTTTAATCTAACTTATTTCCAAATAGTATTATGATTCTCACTTCCACACTCGTTTTCTGGTCTTTTATCTAAATTTAGGAAGTCAGAGCAGTGGTACCGACTGCTAGACTGAAAGCTCTATGAAAGTAGGAATGATATTTTTCTGTCTGTTCTTAATTCGTTTCTGGATCCTCAGCATCTGGCCTACGGCTTGACATTTGGTAAGTACCAACAGAACAAGGTAAAAACAAGCCCTTGGGCCAGGGGACCAGGATATGGAACAGAGCTCCCTTCCCTTCCCCCTGGGGAAGGCGCCTGCATAAAGGGACCTGGCAGAATGGGCTGAGAAGCCTCTGCCAGGATACGGACGGACTGGGGAGGAGTTGGTAGAGGGGGCTAGGGATTCCTGCTGGAATCTCTCCCTTGTTGTTACTCAGCTGGGGAGGATTTGGTAGAGGGGGCTAGGATTCCTGCCGGAATCTCTCCCTTGTTGTTACTCAGCTGTGGAGGCTTTGTACTTTGGACAATGAAGAGCAAAGACCATTATTAAAGCTCTTTGGCTTGCTGCTTTTTCGGCGGGGGGGGGTGCGGGGAAGGGACAGGGTGGATTACAGAGAGCTGTAAATTCACTCTGAAATGTTTGAGAAAGGGTTGGGACGGGGCCTGGGCTGACAAAGTGACAAATATCTGGTTCAGTAGGTCCCATTTCCGCCAGAAATAGAGACAGGGACTTTGGCATATACTGAATTACCAGAACAGGTGAGCAACGCGAGGAGGGGCCAGGCCTCGGGAACAAGAGGCTCAGCGTGCCTTCAGATAAACTCCCCTGTTATTGGACTTAAACTCTGTAACCTCATGACAGAGCTTTGGAGTGACCTTTGGGCTTGGGGTGTGAGGAAGGGCAGACAGGAGGAAAGTAGCTAGAGCTCTTGGGACATTTGTTCCGGGGACACTGAGGAAAGAGGTGGATGGTGTGTGCTGGGTGCTCAGAGGCCTTGGCTGCCCGGCCTGAAACAGGAAAGCAGGGAAGACCCTCTGAAGGCAAGCTAGAGAAGACAGACAACTCAGCAACCACTACACACTTGCAATTTGCTGACGGGCATGTAACTTGTGTTCCAAAACTCCTCTCCATGTAGTAAAGCTGCAGAGATTCTTATGTCTTAAATTACTGGCTGGGATGTGTGAAGATTCAAATGACTCACTATGAGACACAGCATTGGAGGATCTGCCTTCCCAAAGCTGGAGTTTAAGAGAAAAACCACTTTGTCTCCTGGTGGCAACAGAGGAATGAGTTTCTAATTGAGCCCAGTGATATACACTGACTTCAACGGAGCCTAGAGAGTCAGAAACTTGACCCAAACCAGTGACTCATGCTGGGAACGGAAGTACTGTGAGAACATTGAGAGAAAGACGAATCAGGACCTCTGAGCTCTCATATCTGGACAATCTGGACATCTCCATGTTAAGGCTAGATGTGATTTCCAATTTGGACAGAGCATTGCTAAATTGACCCATTAAGGTTCCATCCTGTAGGAACCCTTGTGAACTACAGTCAGCAAATAACCAATTTGCTAGTTAGGTCAATCCTGTGCTAGTTAGGTCAGTTCTTTGAAATCCAAGTCCTCTGATCTGGACCACTGCCTTTCCTGGGCCTGGCTATAAATCAGTCAGCCTCCTTCTGGTTGATCCTCCCAACACTTTCTAAATTAACTTTCCCCCAAACACTGCTTCCATCATGTTTTCCCTCTGTGCAGTAAACCCATGGAGCATTGGACCTCAAGATGTGGCTTTTGAATTGGCGACATCAGCATTACCTGGAAAGTTGTGAGACATGTCCATTTGGTGGCCCCATCTCAGTTGTACTGAGTTAGAAACTCTGGGAGTGGGCTCCGCTGATGTGTTTTAAGAAACCCTGATGCATGCTGGGGTTTGCCACTGAGGCAACCTGCCGTCCACAGCACTCTCTGCTCTACAGGCTTCTAATGCTTGCCTCTCATATTTTGTGCTTCTTGATCCTGCCTTGCATTATGTTAGTGTGATCTGATTTCATATTCAGAATGGTAAACTCCATGAGGTCCAGGTCTGTGTGTTTTCTAGATTTATTCACTTGTGAAATCACAGAACTGGAAAGGACTTGGAAAAATACTATCTAGCGTCTTCATTTGCAAACCTTTGAAGGTTTGCAAAGGTTTGCCAAGTCCCAGGTGCATAGTGGACGTTCAATTAACAATTGCTGAATGAAATAACACGCCCTCAGGGGCCACAGAGGTGAATTAAGACTGCTGAGGCCTCAGCGTCACCGCCTTAATTTAGATTGTCCCTTCTGGCGCCCTCTAAGGGTTCACGAATGCCTGGGGAAAGCCTTGGATGTCTTTGCCAGCTTTTCCCTCATGGTCCTTTGCATGGACTCTGGAATTTACTTGCTGAACACAAGGCAACATGGTGTTTTGAGATACAAATGGCAGAGCAGTTGTCTTAGGAAAATCAAAACAATAAACAAAATTGATGTTGTTTTCTTATTGCAGCTTTGAGACTCGACATGAAGTATGAATCTGTCATAACCAAGAACTAATATCTTGCCTGTATATCTAAGGCATAAATAAAAATTAATTGCAGCACACAGCTGTTAATTATCAGGTTTTGGAGCATGCCAGGGGCAGTTGCTTATGAATACCTATTTAGCTGAAGCTCCCTCGCTCATTAGGACGTGCTGACATGGACCATGGGGACCTTAGCCAGTGGTCGCTCGGCTGCATCTGCACTGTCCAGTGGTCCAGGCTGCTGCTGGTCCTTGCACTGTTAGGAGATAGGCTGCCACAGCCGATATAGGGTACACTTTGCTTATGAAACCACTCTTTCCTCGTCTCACAAATGTTCACACCTGAAAAAGGAGATTATTGACTTCCAAGGATGGCTTGCGGTCATTCTTCTTCTCAATGAACTGGGCCGTGGATGTGACAGACATCTGTGTGTGTGTGTGTGTGTGTGTGTGTGTGTGTGTGTGTGTGTCATTTTGTAGGAGGCAGGAGATCGTAGTGATGTGCTACATACATAAATAATATTTATGTTGCTTTTTATTATCAGAGTTTAATGCTTTAGGGCCGTCAGAATCTGTTTCTCTCAAAAGAATGGGCAAGACCTGAAAAATCTCTTTATTGTTCTTTAGAGGGAGGACAAGGACAGAAAAGCCTTTGTGTCTCAGAGATGAGAAGAAATTCAAAAGGTCCTTGATTCTTATAGGTTAAATTCACATACTACTGAAAAGGAGGGAAAAGAGGAAAAAATACGCTTTTCTGTTTTCTGCCGGCAGGGTAGCTGCCCCTAAATTTAAAAAGCCTATCATTTTACTGTAGGTCAAGTTCACTAAAGCAAACTCACTTGGACTTTCCTCATTTGCGTGTGTGTGTGTGGGGGGGGTTGTACCGTGATTTGTAAATAAAAGTGGTGCTACTTGTCTAGAAGTTTCAGGGTAATTATACTGACTGTAATCTCAGAACTGCGGGCCTGGTTTTCTGAGCTGGTTATTGTCAAGTCCTTCCTGTCTATGCTCCAGTTTCTGCCATCCTCTTCTCACCATGACTAAGCCTTCTAAGCTTGCCGTGGCCAGACTTGATCTGCGAGAGGAGGCATTTAAGGAACCTTCAACAATTTTGTTCCTCATCATCACGTTGGTTTGGCTTCTAGTCTACCTTTGATTTTTGCCATATTTGTAGAACCAGCCTTGCCTCTTGTTCCTTGGATTCAGGATCTACCTTGCACTCTAGTTTTTGTGCCGGGTTTTTGCTCATGACCAAGGACGGAGGTCCCGTCTTAGGAATTTGCCAGGTGAGCCCATGTCCTCTAGGGACACATGACTCAGCCTTACTCTTGCACCCCTCCCCTTTCTGAGCCCCAGGGTCCAGCCCTGCACCACACGCTGACTGAGGCTCCACACTCTCAGAGGAGGCTCTCCAGGGCTGCCTGCCTGAATGCTGGGGCACTTCTTGCTTCTGCATTCCGTGGCACCACGCTGTGATTTCACATTGAGTGGGTTTCCCTTGTTTCGTGGCTGCCTCCTGATTCCAGGCTCCTGGCTGCATCAGCAGCTCTGATGTATCACCGTATCCTTCAGCTACCGTGTTCTGCCTGCCAGAATGGACAGCTTCCCAGCGCCTGCAGCTGGACTGTCCTCCCTGGAGGCAGGTCTGCTTTCAGGTCCCGGCTTCTGCCACTAAGACCTGCCCAGGCCTGGCTTAACACGGTCAACAAATGTCAAAGATGTCCGTCAAGATGTGTATGTTTCAAATACTGCCATTCAGGCATTTTTAACTACAATTCTCCAGTTAGGTTGTGTTACACTTAAAGAAGTCTTTCCATTCTTTTTTATTATGATATGTGGATTGTAAAAATGCTGGCCTTATCACTTCTTGGCCTTTTGGCTAAGATCAAGTGTAGTAAAAATGCTGGCCTTTACCTATTTGCAGGTCTTTTAAATAATAAAGTGTAAATGAACCTTGCTTTTAATGGACATTCTGAACAAAATTCTTCCAAATATATCACTCTTTATATTTAAGAGTGATGTAATCCAACGAAATTGTGCCTATTTCTGTCCTGATGTCTCTGGTAGGAACCCTGGGCCTAATTACTGTGCTTACCTATTGTCCTCAGTCCTAAACTAAACACGAAAAGCCGAAGAATAGGCAAAAGCAAAAGAAATCTCTTAGTGCACAAGAGTGAATGTGTGTGTATATGAACACACACGTGCATACCTCAGGAGAGTGATGGTGAGAAAGGGCAGGTCAAAGGGATCCTGTTCATTTGACAGATATTAGAAAGGGATTCCTATTAATATAATAATTATCAATGATGACCCAGATGGTAAAGAATCTGCCTACAATATGGGAGACCCAGGTTTGATCCCTGGGTTGGGAAGATCCCCTGGAGATGGGAATGGCTACCCACTCCAGTATTCTTGCTGGAGAATCCCGTGGAGAGAGGAGCCTGGTGGGCTACAGTCCATGGGGTTGCAGAGTCGTACATGACTGCGCAACTAACACATTATTAATTAGTGAATACTTGTGTCGTATCAGGCAGTATGATAGACACTTAAATTGCCTTATTAAAGCCTCCTTAATTTGGCACTAATTTTGTTTCCACTTCACATGAGAGAAAACTGAGGTTTAGAGAGGTTAATTTCCTCACTCAAGTCCCTGCGCAACACGATGGCTGGGATGGAGAGATG